ACCTGAAGGTGATTACATAGCTTCTGTTAGTGATGATCATACAGTAAAATTATGGACCACTAAAAGTACCACCAGCACAGATAAGTGTGTTGCTACATTAAATTTATCATCTCCTGGTATGGATGTATGTTGGCATCCAGAAGAGAATGGTAATATTTTATACCATATCTAATAATAATTCTAGAATATGAATACAGTATTTAAAGCTTTTCTATTTTATCTTCTTTATTTCATTCAAATTTTATATGTAAGTTCAATTTCAAATGTCCATTAGGAAAGTTATTGGCTGCTGAAAAGAATGGGCTCATACATTTGTATAATATACACTCTCAACAAGCTATATTGTCTTTGGATGCTGGAAGTGTTCCTCTTATGAGTGCTCATTGGGCTCCTTCTAATGGGGCTCGAGTAGCTGCTATAACTTCGGGAGAGTTAATAGTATGGGATATGGAAAGCCGAGGTAATTAATTTTTGATTATGTGTATTTTTATTACGACTTCAACATTTTATTAGTTAATGGATTTATGGGTTAAAACTAGTTTTAAGATTGTTAAGTTGTAAAATCTATTAATTAATAATTGGTTGCACAATCTAATAAAAAAACTTATTGCAACATTATAATTTTACTAATTAATGAAGATAAATTGACTGGTTTTATATTGATTAATTATATAAATTGTAGTTATCAAAATATTTATTAAGATACAATACCTACAATATCTAACAGTCACTTAATGTGATATGTATTTGTAACCTGATCGCTGAATATTTTCATGTTATATTTTTGAAATATAATTATATATTATATATATTTGAATTGATATATTTTTTCTATTATTTTCTAGTCGACCTATTGAAACAAGACCACTGCATGAAGATGGTGCATATTTCTTAAGGTTTTCATCAATCAGTGATCTAGTATTAGCGACAGTAGGTCGACCGCATAACACTTTAAAAGTTACTCATACAAGAATGAAATTACCGCAATTAACGTCATCACTTATGTTATTTGGAGGCTTGACCTGGCATTATATCTTGCCATATGTTTGTGTGGCTAATGACCGAAATTATGTTTTTGGAAGGTTTCTTCTAAATAATGAATTTGAAATCAATTTTTGTACTATTAATTTGATCAATATAGATTTCTACAAAAAGGATTCTTGTAATTATATTTTTAATATTATATTACTTTAGAATAAAATAACATATTTTATTTATAACATCTATGTATTTGTACAACGTTTTTTATTTGCAATATAGAATGATTTTGATATTGCACAATTTTTTATGTTTGAATTCTGTTTACTTTCCCGCAGATTTACCACGTGCTGAAAACTTCTGAATATATTTTGGTCACGTTGGCATTTACCACATGTTTCATCTCGGCAGTTGGTACCAAGAAATGTGAAACGTAAATGTCAATTTTCTAGGTTGAGTGATGTTTTAAATTAATTCTGGATGCCGGCATGTGCATAAAATTATATAGGAAATGTAGTATATATGACTAAAAATTATATTTTTGAACTACTGTTTTCATATGTTAATTTTTATCGTATTCTTTAATTTTATAATTTCTCTTTTATTTCTTCCATAACCTCAAACTTAACCATCAATATGGGAAAAGCGAAAAAGCTTAAAAAAAACGCAAATGATGACGAATTGTAAGTAACTTTTGATAACACTACTCAATATTAATATATTACTAGATTTTCTAACATTGAATAATAAAATAATAGAGATAGTGATATTGATACTACTGATGCTGCAGTTAAAGAAACAACAAAGGGAAAAACTAAATCTAAACCACAAGAAAAAATTATAGACTCAGATAATGAAGATACAGGCAAAAAGAAAAAATCTTCAAAGAAAGACAAAAAGAAAAAGGTAGTTGACAATGATAGTGATGTTGATGACATCACTAATGAGATTGATGATTTAAATATTCACAAAGAAATTGAGAAACCGAAGGCTAAGAAGCCTGATATAAAGAAAGGAGGATTTGCTCTTTTAGCTGTAGAAGGTAAAATTTTGAGAATTGCATTTTAATGATGCTTATATATTTTCTTATATAAAAATATTAAAAACTTAGGTCAGCGGTTTCCAACCTTTTCTTCCTTGCGCCCCCCTTTTGAATGATAAAAATATTGCGCCCCCCTCCCATTCTTATTTTTCTAACAATTTAATTTAAAGATACTTAATATAACTGAAATTATGCCAAATAATACACAGTATTATAAAAAATATACATACAAACATAACTATTTATTATAATAATTTTCTGTTTCACATAAGTAAGATCTAAAATTTCTAAAGCATTATTTGCCAAAGTAGGAAAATCGTCCTTTACTGGTAACCAAAACTTAACAATATATTTTCGTCCTGAAACATCTGCGTCAATGTGCTATCACTAGATAGATCAATTATCATTTTCTGCTCTGCTATTGAATGACCAAAATCATCATGTTTTTCAATGACAAATGGATTTCTAATCCTTGCATTGATTTAATTAAATCGCTAAGTCTTTGAAAAATATCAACTAAATACGCAAATTTTGCGAGGAACTTTGTGTCCTAAAATAAGATTGCTCCATCTCTTTTGTTATCAGCAAGAACTATTGCAATTTCTTTTTTGAGTTCAAACACTCTTAGAAGTACTTTAAGTATTTTGCTGATTTGTTTTTGACACTTACTCAGCATTTAAAAATAATATTTTTGAAACAGCTTTGCGCCCCCCCTGGAACGGTATGGCGCCCCACCAGGGGAGCGCGCCCCACAGGTTGGAAATCACTGACTTAGGTATATATCAAAACATTATTTCTTGTTTTTAAGTTGAAATTGAGATAATAAGCAAATTACAAAGTTATATAAAATAAATAAATTCAATTTTTTATCAGTACTGTTATAAACTATAAAAAATAGTATTTTATTATGTTAACATTCTTACATTTTACTTATATATATATATATATATATATATATATATATATAATATATCATTTTATATCATAAAAACATCTTTAAATATCTACATTATACAATTCGAAATTGTGTTAAATAAAATATTATTTAACTTTTTTTTTAATAGATTCAGCAGAATCAGCGCCAAGTGACAATGAAATTTCTGAATCTACTACTAATACTTCATCGAAAAATAAAAAAGCTAATAAAAAGATAGATAGAAGTGATAGTATTGAAGATAATAAGCCAAAACCTGATGGTGGTAAAAAAAGCAAAAAGTCTAAAAAGAAACGAAATGATAGTGAAGAAGATATAGAGAAAGTTTTAGCTGAACTAGAACTTGAATATTCCGGTGTCAAAAAGGATGTTAAAGAAGAAGAAAATGTGGGAAAAGTAGAGAAAGTAGCTCAGGTAGAAAAGCAAGCCAAACCAAGCATTAAAACTGAAATTAAAGATCAAAGTGAAGTAAAAGATGATACAAATGAAGAGTCTGGAGGAACGGTTAAAACTGCAGCTCAGAAGAAGAAAGAAAAAAAAGAGCGTGAAAAGCAGAAAAAATTGCAGATGAAGCAAAAGGTGTTCTTTGATAAAGTTTGATAAATAACTTACTAAAATAGTAAAGTCAAATGAATTAATTTTAATCATCAAAATATTATTTTTTTAATTACTTTTTAGGAAGTTAAACCTGTAAATACTGACCAATCTACAAAATCAGCAGAAGAAAGTAGTAAGCAACAAGTTGAAACAGTAGCGGGGGATGATGATGAAAATAAACAAGATGATGCAGAAGAAGATGATGATAAAAAGAAAAAAAAGAAGAAAGGTAATAATTTTGACTTCATCTTTAACATGTTTCGATAGCCAGATCTTCAAGATAAAGTGCTTATATTTATATCATTTTTTTAATATTTTTATATATTAAATAATTAGTATAAAAAATATTTGTATAAATTAATACGTTAAAGAAAATTTGTCTCATGATGGTGAATATAATAAATTAATATTATTATTTTTAGTGATGTTGATATGGGTTAAATAACATGTCAAATAATGAAAGAGAGCAGCTTTTGGCTGACTATATTTTTTTGGAAAAAAATTACTTGAAATTTTGTTTTAGGTGCAAAAGCAGCTGAGGATGCGAAGGCAGCGGGCAAAGGACCAGGCAAAAAAACAATTGCAGCAATGCAAGATGCTTTGAAAAAACTCCGAGAAGAACAAGAAAAATTGCAAAGAGAAGAAGAAGAAAGGATTCGCAAGGAAGAGGAAGCTGAAGCTGCTAGATTAGAACAAGTGAGAACAATAAATTGTGAATAATAACTCAAATTATTGCTCATTAGGATATATTTATCTAGTATATATTTTTTGTTTTTCTATTTAATTTATTTCTTTTAATGAATTTATCAACTGATTTGTTTTTGATATACTTTAGATTAGGTTGGAACAAGAGCGGAAAGAAAAAAAAAAGAAAAAGGAAAAGGAACGTAAAGAACGTTTAAAAGCTGAAGGCAAACTACTTTCTGCAAAACAAAAAGCAGATAAAGCTAGAGCCCAAGCAATGCTTGAATCTCTTAAGGCAAGGGGACTAGAAATGCCTGAAGTGGGAGAGAAGAAACCTAGGTTTGCATACTTTCGATTTTTAAGAATCTTTTTATTTATGTTTATTTTTTACTTATGCTATTTCATTATTCTAGAAACTTACTTCATGAATTGAAAATTTGAATTTAGAAAAATATGTTTCAACAAGTAAATTTGCATTGGTAAATTTATTCAAACATAAGTTAATTACTTTTATAGACTTGGAACAAGAATTCGACCTAATAAATCTAAACAGCAAGGTAATAAGGAATCTACGGAAGTGCAATCTCAAGTTGATGCTGATAAAGTAGGCGAACAACCAGCAGAGAATGTGGTTGAGCAAAGTGCCGAAACAAAAGCTATTGCCGAAGAAGATGATGTTAAGGATGCATGGGATGCTGATTCAAGCAGTGAAGAGGAAAGCACAACTGAAACACCAGGTTAATTTACAAATTATGCATTATTACTATAATACTCAAAGAACAAAGAACATATTTGTAGTAAATGATATTTTATTTTTATTGAAATGTTTATAAACTTTGTAGCAGTAACTGCAAAGTCTGAAACAAAAGTGGATCAATCTGCAGAAAGTAAAAAGGAAGAAACTTCTTCAGAAGAAGAGTCTGAAGAAGAAAGTGATTCTGAGTCAGAATCTGAAAGTAGCGAAGACAGTGATAATAGAACTGATGCAGAAAAGAAACGAGAAAAGGCTCTCCAGAGAATACAAGTACCACTTGCTAATGAAAATAAATCAAATATTTAAAAAAAAACTATTGATTTTATCAATATTTTAATTATTTACAGAAACGCAGAATTGATGCAGAACAGAATAAATCATTAGACAAACTGAGAGCTGCGGTGGTTTGTGTGTTGGGACATGTAGATACTGGAAAAACAAAAATTCTTGACAAATTACGTCGCACAAATGTGCAAGATGGTGAAGCTGGTGGTATTACTCAACAAATTGGTGCTACAAATGTTCCAATAGAAAACATAAAGGAGCAAGTTAAAATTGTTAAAGGGGTTAGAATTAAAATATATAGTTTATTTTGATTTGATAATAATAATTTTATTTTTTTTTGAAAACATGAAAAATAGTTATAGTAGAAAATAAATACAGTTGTTTAATTTTTAGATATCAGATACTGTATTCAAAATTCCTGGTTTACTGATTATTGACACACCTGGTCACGAATCTTTCAGCAATCTGAGAAGTCGAGGTTCTTCTTTGTGTGATATTGCTATCTTGGTAATTATAATTCAATTTTTAAAATAGTTTATAAAGCATATTAACAGTTTATATGTACATATATAATACATATTATATATGTACTAATACATTTATTTTAACACTAGTAAATTATGAAATATATAAGATTTTTATCCTAAGTGACGTTCAAATTAAATATGTATATAACACAGTTTTATGTTTTCTGGTTAATTTTTCAGGTTGTTGACATTATGCACGGTTTGGAACCACAAACTTTAGAATCTATTAACTTATTAAAAACTAAGAAAACTCCGTTTATTGTTGCATTGAACAAAATTGACAGATTGTATGATTGGTCAACTATGGCTAGGAAAGATGTACGAGACGTTCTCAAAGCCCAAGCACCGAATACACAATTAGAATTTGAACAAAGAACTAAAGAAATCATAGTTCAATTTGCTGAGCAAGTATGTTTTGTTTATTTCGTAGAGTCAGTACAAATATTATTTAAAAAAACTATAATTTACATCTAAAACTTTCAGAAGAATAATTACTTATTATCAAAATGACAAATTTTAATAATAAGCATATTCTCTTTAAATATTTATGAACTTTTGTTGTCTTCTTATCAATATGTTTTATTTTCACTAGGGTTTAAATGCAGCTCTATTTCATGAAAACCCTGACCCAAGAAGTTACGTTTCTTTAGTTCCAACTTCTGCCATAACTGGAGAAGGAATGGGTAATCTCTTAGCCTTAATTGTTGATTCATGCCAGAATATGTTAGCAAAACGCTTGATGTTTAGTGAAGATTTGCAAGCTACAGTATTAGAGGTAAAGAATTTTATTCATGTTATTTACAAGTTTATTAATTGATTATTAATTGAATTTTTAACATCAATAACCTATAATAGTAGTTTTGATATAAAAATATAAGCTATACTTATTTTTATAAATTAGTGCTATATTAATTTAATATAATGTTAAATATATCAGTAATTTGATAAAAAAAAAAAACGAAACTTTGATTGAACAGGTTTATATCTATATTCCCATTTAAGGTTAAAGCGATACCTGGGCATGGTACAACCATTGATGCAATTTTAATAAATGGAACTTTAAGAGAAGGAGATACGATTATTTTAGCTGGTACTGATGGACCCATAGTTACACAAATTAGATCATTACTAATGCCACAACCAATGAAGGAACTCAGAGTTAAAGTAAGTATCCTGAACTGCAAATATATTTATAATTAGGTTTTTCTGTGATTTTAATAATTAAGTTTGTGTTATACATATTTGTTTTTATATTTATAGAATGCTTATATTGAACACAAAGAAGTAGTTGCTGCACAAGGTGTAAAGATAGCTGCAAAAGAATTGGAAAAAGCAATTGCAGGTTTAAATTTACAAGTTGCACAAAAGCCAGATGAAATTGACATATTTAGGTACAATATTTATTTAATATATTATATATATTTATCATAATAACATTTTTAATGAAGTTGAATTTATATCATTTATTCAATTAGTACATAAAATAACTACCATTTGGATTCATTACCATTATAATTTTACTTTGTAGAGATGAGGTAGCTAAAGAACTGAAAAGTGCTTTAAGTGGCATCAAGTTGCAAGAAAGAGGTGTTTATGTGCAAGCAAGTACATTAGGATCTTTAGAAGCCTTATTGGAGTTCCTTAAAGTCAGCAAAATTCCGGTAAGTTCTTTTATAGTGAATTTTACATGTATATAATTAAAATATTTCAATTAAAATTTCTCAAATTAATTCAATTTGTAAAAAAATCAACTGTAGGAGTAAACAGTAAATGTATTTTTGCTTAAATATTTGCTTCATAAATTAAAAATAATATGTTTACATATTAAATTTAGTTCTGGAATGAACATTTGCTACCATATATGTTGTAAATATGATTTTCACTAACTGTAACTACATTATTTAATTCGAATTTTTGTAGAATCACACAGTTCCTAACTTGTTGTAATGTCGCATTATTTTTGCTATTCATTTCATTTTTATCAGTGGAGATAATAAACATTCTTAACTTTCCGAAGGAGAAGTTTGTTTTCATAAAAATATCCGATTCGCTAATTTTATGTTTTCTCGACGTTTCAAACCATTCTGAATCGAATGAGATCAAATTTGGAAAAAGTATGTGTGTGTGTGTGTGTGTATCTGTTTGTGTGCATGTATGTGAACAGCTTTTTTGACGTAAATCGACGTTTTCTCAAAAAAGACTGGACCGATTTTAAAATTTTAAAAGCCATCCAATGTACCTTAATGAGGACTAGTGTTTCTCAGTTTTGTGCAACGAGCCGTTTCTTTGTAAATCGCAGAACAGTGGAAAATTATGTAATTAGGTGAGAATCTACTGAGCCGTTTTCTTGTAATTAACTTTTGAAAAAAAATTCAAACCGATTTTTATGAAACTTTTTTTGGCAGTGTATTTCATGGTCTTATAGAACTTACTGAAATATTACTGCCTTACGACAAGTAGTTTAATTTTAAAAAACCTTCAAGAGTAGTTCCTTTTTGACGATTGTTAAAATTAAAATTAGACGATTTACTCGGTATAACCATAGAGTACTTGCTCTTAATGAACATACTAAATCATTAAAGTCCTACGGTAACTGGTTCAATTATAAAAATTGATTTTTGAAAATTTGCTTTTAGAAAATACCCGGACCGAGTTAACTCGGAATACTTTTAATCACTCATAAGTTATTTTTTATTGATTAAGTCTATTATTTACACATATCGGGAAGTTCATGTAACTTGCCTCAGGGCAAAATACCAATACCAACTAGGTTAAACCTATTTTGTCATACAATTTACAAAAAGAAATTTAAGAATACATAGGTTATTGGTTCGATAGCAATATATGGGTAATTTTTTTTATTTTATCTAGAAACATAAGATTCACCAGATGAAGTAGACTGAAATTCGAATATACATTGATTATGCGTTGTAAATGCTTTTGCGATACCTTAATAAAAAAGTTGTATAAATAATATTTACTTACAACTAATTTGTACAGTTAAAATTTTGTATCAATATAGAGATGCAACGCATAAATGCACACAATCGATACATTATTTTGAAAAATCGGTTTTGTGTTCTCAGACCATTTTAAAACATTTCTATTTTTTCTATATGATAGTAACGTTTCTGTTAATTCGATTGTCTACTTAATTACGTGATCAGTAAGCGCGCAACATCGCAAAGTATTTATAATTCATGTCGAAAGTAGATCAAAGGAATGCCAGCCGGATGTCATTCGGTCACACAGACTTTATGGCGTCACCCACATTTGTTAACGGTTATCTTCTTCCCGAATCGTAAAGAGACGTGATGGTAATTAATTAATATCAAAAGAAATTTTTTGAGGCATAAAAATGCGATTTTCATCTACGGCAGTGTTTCCCAAAGTGGGGCGCACGCCCCACCGGGGGCCTATTTGTAATTTCAGAGGGGCAATTTGAAAGTTTTGGTGATTTTAATGTAATGTAGTATAGTATCGGTAAAACATTTAACAATATATGCAATAAACTTTATATAAATCTACAACAACATTATGAAAGAGAATATTGCGGGATGCAACAATTCTTTGCGTTCCAGTAGCCCTTCACTAATTATTTTAAACTTTTTTATTCCAATTTACGAAAATTACCAAAAAAATAGTTAAAATCTAATAAAAAATTGTAATCAATTTTCTGACTGCTTGGCATATGCTTTAAGGTCAGTGACAAGACTCGACTTGAAATATGCACAAGAAAGTGATATTTAATACTAAAGTTATTGCGAAGCTTTATGAGAACAGATTTTATACAAGGCTTAAAAGCATAAAAATTGTAAATATGATGTGAGTTTTTTACTCATTGTCAGTAACTATTGCTAAATATGGAATTAATTTAAAATAAACTAATTTTTATTGTATCCTTAAATAGTACACAGTTGACACCAAGCGCGGCTTTTACTCTTATTGTTAGATTGCTTCAAATAATTCTTTAGGTTTGTTGAGGTTGAGGTAGTAATGTATAGTGAAAAATTTAGCTGTCGATCAGTAGAAAATACTTTTTTGATCTGTTATGTAGAGTGTTTGTTGAAAGATGGAATATCAAAACAAACATTTTGGTCAAATTTTGAATTTTTATTTCTGCAAATGGTAAAACGATCATCCCAATAGGTGTTGTTTATGGTGTCGAAGCCTTAAAAAACAGCTATTTTAAAATTGGTTTTGAAAATGTCATTCTGGTAATTTTCCACTCAATACTGCTCTGATTGTCCAGTCAAAGTTTTGGACAAACTAATTAAAGCAATAATCGATTGGGCTAACAGCAAAAATTGTCTTTGATTTTCTAACAAAAATGCGCACTTAATTAGTTGCCAACGATAAGTGATAACTATCAATTTAGATTAGAACCTAATATAAAATCTTTGTTCTAGCTCAAGTATTGCAATAAATAAATTTCGAAAAAAACAGTAATAAAAATTAGTTTGGAATTTTTGTATGTTGGCTTATTCCGAAATTTTACTTATGATGTTTAATAACAATTTAATAGCGATTTCATCTTAAAAAATATTCACATTTTTTCTGGGAGAAAAAAAATTGTATGGGGGGGCATAACGATTTTATAAACTTCAAGGTGGGGCGGGGCCCAAAAAAGGTTGTGAATCACTGATATATGGGGTTTTAAATTTGAAACCGTTCCGAATCTCACTAGACTTGCATTTGATTACCAAATTTCCTTACCGAATATTTTTAATTAATGGATATATCATCTGTGAATTTCAAGTTCTAAGGATATTTTATGCCATTTATTTATTGCTGTTTTTGTCGAATCTTCCCGAATCGTTAAAAACGATATCAATTAATTCATATCAAAGACATTTGGGAGGCCTAAAAATGCGATTTTGAAATATGATGTTTTAAATTCGAACCATTCCGAATCTTGCTAGACTTGCGTTGGTTTACAAAATTCGTTACCCAATATTTTTAATTTGATCAGTAGATTAATGAATGTATCATTCGTAAATTTCAAATTGTAAGGATTTTTTATGCAATTCATTTTTTGATGCTTTTGTTGAATCTTCATGAATCTTAAAAATAAAACGAGATATGAATTAATTAATATCATAAGATATTTTGGAATTCTAAAAATGCGACTTTGATCTATGGTCTTTTAAATTCTGAACCATTCCGAATCTTGCTAGACTTGTGTCGGTTAACAAATTTTGTTACCCAATATTTTTAATTTGATCAATAGATTAATAAATATGTATTGCATCTGATAGTTTGAAATTGTAAGGATATTTTTAATGTGATATATTTCTGTATGCTTTTGCTGAATCTTTCCGAATCGTTAAAAACGAGATGGCAAGTAATAAATATCAAAAGAAATTTTGGAGACTTCGTAATACGATGATCTATGGTGTTTTAACCCTTTCTACTCGCGAATTCCGAGGTTTATATGATTTTTGCCGTTGGAGCGCCACATCCTAGTGGAAAAGGGTTAAATTACAAGCCATTCCGATTCCCGCTGGTCTTGGGTTAGTTAACAAATTGTGTGGCCTAATAGTTGATAATTTTACTAGTTAAAAAATCATCTGATGTCAAATTGTAAGGACATGATTTTTATGTGATTTATTTATTGGTGCTTCTATAAAAATGGCGCACCAACAATTTTATTATTATTATGCACATAATTGTCTGAACTTTTCGTTTATAGAATGATTTCAATGAAATTACTAAAATATTTAAAGGAATTATACTTGTGCTTAATATTTTTTGCAAAAATTTTTGAGTTCCTTTCATAAAGAATTATGATATATATGTGTAATTGTTAATCGCACATGTAACTGAAATAGCAGTCGAGCTTCAGGTAATTTCTCAGTATTAACTTAAAAGGCATATGATTTCAATTTGTTTTTTTTTTTTTGAATTTTATTATTAATAACTTAATTGTTTTCAAAAATGACAATTGGTTTTAGTCCAGATATCTTGGTTTGAGCAGCTCGTTATAAAAGAGCTAGATTGTTGAATTACATTAGATTGTATATTTTATATTTTTATATTCACAAAACCAATTTGATTAAAGCCTAATTGTAGTAAGTTATGTTTCTCTATTACTGAGAATTTAGATCCTATGATCTGTTGTAATGGCTCATCTTCTATGTGACATTGTAAAAGGTATAACTGTTGACATATCTATATTTAATATATTAATTATAAGAACTTTCCTAACATTGGTAATATATTCGTTTTCCTCTAGTAATGAACAATTTCGAAATTGTAATGCTAATTGACTGAACGTTTTGATTCTCTGATTGTTTGATTTCGGCAACATTATTATACATTAGAGTATACACTTATATTATTTTGCATTTCATTATTCGTCTTAAATTGTTTTCTAAATTAATTTGCTTTCTATTTCTATATTTACCTCCATCTCACGGTATATCTAAATTAAGATATTTGAAGAGCATATCTTGAAGTATATTCGCCCACTGCTGAATTGATATTTATCATGGATGCTCATTTCTTTTCTCACAATATTAGGAGATTCTGTGAAATATTACATACATAGTAGCATTTATTAGAAAGCTTTTTTTTAAAAAAGGTTAAGTATTAAAATTTATCGTGAAATATATTTCAAAAATATAAATTATAAATTTTCATATATTACAATATTCAATTTAATCCTGAGGTTGAATTAATTAGTTTTTTTATATAG